CTTGCCTTTGCTCCACTTGGAGTTGTCTTACTTCAAGTCTAGAACTCATGGTGTAGTACACAGGCTTGTGTTTTAACATGGCAATGTGGTTGAGGCAGATAAATACATGATTCAAATTGTGCTGGGTGATCCCAAGAAGCAACTGACCACCTGCAATTCATTAGTATCCACAAGAAGGGTTGAAACTTGCCCAGAAGTGTGTGCGTCTCACTTGCAAAGGTCTTCTCAACACGTGCCCTTACAAACCTCCTTTCTCATCTTGTTTTCCTGCTGGCACCTCAGTTGGAAGAGGAGGCCATGGTAGAATTCATTTCCATGAATAAATACCACAAACTTCCTGCTTCTTGGAGGAAATACTAAATATTCATGTCCTATCCATCTAGCTCCCAAATCCTCTCATTGTTGTGTTTGCTCTGGAGGAAAAGGGAATGAGCTGCTTGCTTCACCAGAGTTCTTGTGTTCCTAATTGATAAGCAGGGTCCTCCAGACTGAGGAGTGCTCCCTGGGGACTCAGTTTTTTGTCTTAATGGGACTTCCTGGGTTTCCTGTGAAATGCTTACATCCTGGTGTCCACTGGTTGCTTATTCACACAGGATGTATCACACTGCTTAAAAGTTTATGAGCTAGAACAAAGCACACCATAAGTTAACACAAAGGGTAACTCTTAAAATTTTTAGAACAAAGAACCTAAAACATGACAGAAAAATGTGAAAAGGACATGAGTCAACAGTGCTACATCTTTACAAATGGCTGCTCACTTTGTTAAGTGATGTTTAAAAGACATGATCAGCCAATTGACAAGAGAGATATGGAACTAGACACTAACGACATTGAAAATATATTTAATCTCACTAAGGTAAGAAAAATCATATTAAAATTCCCTTGAGAAATCAAACTGATCCAGAAGTGGCATAGATTTCCAAAACTGCAGACAGGAACATTAAAAAACTTCAAATAACTGAATTTGTTATGTTGTAAATTTAAGTAGAGACAGGAAAATCATCAAATGGACACACTTTCATATTGTAGATATGAAAACTACAGAGTCAGATGGCAATCACATGCATATAATAAATAACAGATTATACAGGGCAATAGGAGAAAATTGTGCACTTGTACAGGTAGCAGTAGAAAGTGTTCAGAATGAAGCACAGCTTACACCAGTACATACAAAGTATGACACAGCATAATCTATTGATCTTTGTCCCCTGAAGAATCCAGCATTGATTAACCATTTGAAACTCAAACAGCATAATTCAACTTACTAAAAACTAAAAATGAAACACGATAGGCTTATCTCGATAAATGGTGAAAAATAATTTCACGAAATCTAATTTCTGTTCCTATGTTGAGAATATTCTCTGGAGAAGGGCATGGCATCCCACTGAAGTATTCTTGGCTGGAGAATCCCCAAGACCAGAGGAGCCTCTTAGGCTTATTCTCCATGAGGTTACAAACAGCTGTGCACAACTGAGTGACTGAGCACATTCTGTAAAAATAGAAAAAAAAAAAAAAGAAAAGAAAAAATGAAAAGAAAACTCTTAGCAAACTAGAAACAGAAAACTTCCTCAACTTAATGAAGGTAATAAACAGTATAGTTAACATGACACTTCAGGGATAAACAAAGATAATTTTACTTCTAAGATCAGAATTAACAAAAAGATGTCCAGTCTCATTATATTGAATTTTTCTCCATGAAATTTTAGAAAAAGATAGAGAGAGAAGTTATGCAGTTTGTGAAAGAAGAATTAAACTGTTTTTATTTGTCAGTGACATCTATGGATAATATTTAATGGAATATATAGCAACAACAATAAGTAAAACTGAATGGAGTAAGTCGTATGCCTAGGAGTAGGTCATATGGTGATTACAGTTTTACTAAGTAGCTTCAATATTGTTCACCATCATGGTAGTGCCAATTTTCATGCCCACTGACAGTGCAAGAGAGGGTTCCCTTTTCGCCACAATGTCTTCAAATTATTGTTTGATGCTGGCTTATTTTGAGTGGTGTGAAATAGTACCTTGTTGTAGTTTTGATTTGCATTTCTCTAAGAGCTAGTGGTGGTGAGCATCTTTTCCTGCGTCTGTTGGCCATATGTATGACTTCCTCCAGGAAAAAAATGCCTACTTAGATATGCCCATTTTTTTCTTTTGTTGTTGTTGTTCGTTTGTTTGTTTGTTTATAGGAGCTGTCAATGACCTTTTATATATTCCATAGACACAGTCTTCCTAGATGATAGTGTGGATTTAATCTGCAGTTTGTACACCTGGTTGGCAGGTTCTGGGTCTTCTTCCTTACCTACACTGCCACTGGGTTTCAATTGTGGTTTTATTTCCATCTCTGCATGTGGTTTGTCCACTGGGATTTGCTCCTGAGGTGGCTCTGGAAGCTTTGGGTTTGCCCATATGAGGGCCAGGTTTGGAGATGGTGCGGCTGCTTGGGTCACAGGGGTTCTGACATCGCCAGACACTCAGGGTTTTGGCGATTAGGACAGCAGGTAATATAGTGCTCTAGAAGTGTACGGCGATCAGTGTTGGCCAACACGCTCCAGTATTCTCGCGTGGAGAACCCCCTCCCAGATAGAGAGTCCTGCCACAGTCTACAAGGTAGAAAAAGTGTCTGACACTACTGAAGAGACCGTGAGAGCACAGATGTAAGAGTCTTTAGCAGTGGCAGCTCTGCCTGAGTGAGTGTTGAGCATGAAGGCAACACAGCTGGTTGGCTTGCGGAGACCCTGACAGTGCCAAGTGTCCAGGGACTTGGACTGCCTCCACTGCAGGAATTATGGCCCTATCACAATATTTCTTTGAGCCTATCATAGCTGGCAATCAGAAGGCCTCTTTGGCTAGTATTTCTCATAGTTCCATGCATTCAGGCACTTCGAGAGTTCTCTGGTCTGGGATCCTTCTCTGTCGTTGATTGTGCCAGGCAAATAGAGGACGGCCCCCCAGGCTGGGGCCCTATTCTGTAGTTTGGAGCATCAGTCATTTAAAGGAGCACCCTGGGTGGAGTCTTACTCAGTAGTTCAGTGATTCAAGTCCTTGATGAACCAGCCTCTCTATTATTCAGTTGTGATGAAGGCATGTGGGGAGTGAGAGGCTAGGGAGATGGCTCCATCCCCTATACATGACTCAGCGGTGTCACCTTCCTTCCATGTCTGCCTGGCTTACCTCCACAAGCTTTTCCCACATAACCTCTTCATCTGAACACTCCATCAATTTGTCTAACCAGTAGACAGCAGACCATGGGCAGGGATTTCTCCACAATCTCTATGAACCTGTTGCACCTTCTAAAGGACCTGTGTCCCTCTCTGGGGTGTGAATGGCTGTGGAAAGGACTGTCTCATTCTCATTCCATTTAGGCTGCCACAGATCAACTGTTTGACTCTCAGCCTGAAGTGTTTCTCCTCTGATCCAGACAGTTGCTCCCAAGTGGAGATCGGACACCTACTTCAGGTCTCCCACCCACTGAGGGCAGGTCCAGTCCTACTAACACTCATGTTTACCCCCTAGTTCCTTCATCGTATTGATTTTTTGTGGTTCCATATATTATTTCCTCTGTTCATGTAGTCCTGTCTGCTCTCAGCTGAGGTTCTTCAAGCACTTGTGTCTGAAGGTGTGTTCCTGATGGACACTTGGACAGAGATGTACTCCCTGTACACCTCCACCTCCACCATCTCCGTTTCTCAAATTTTGACTATTAGAAATAAGACTGCTATGAACATTCATGTGTGTCCTAGGTGAGTAAGCAACCAGAGGACACCAGGAAGACAGCATTTCATGGAAACCAGCGGAAATACCATGAAGTCAATAAAGACTGTCTCCCAGGGGTACATCTCAGGTTGGCTGAACCTGCTAGTCAATTAGGAACACAGGGACTGTGGTGAAGCACACAACTCATCCCCCTATCCTCCAGAGCCAACAACCTCAAAGAGAGAACTTAGGAGCTAGATGGGTAGGCATGATTTACTCAGTGTTTCCTCCAAGAAGCTGGAAGCTTGTGGTAGCTATTCATGGAAATGAATTCCACCATGGTCTCAATTGTGAGGTAAAACACAAAGGAGGTTCTGGCAGGAACACAGGATGAGAAATTTGTGAGGGTGCATGTTGAGAAGACCTTTGCACATGAGGCTCACACACCACTGGGCAAGCTCCACCCCTTCCTTCCTGGGAATGCTAATCAGCCACAGGTGGTCATTTCCTTCTTGGGGTCATCCAGCACAACACAGAACATGCATTTATCTGCTTCATCCACAACACCATGTTAAAAGGAAGCCTGGCTATTACACCTAGGGAGGTGACCATTAGTCCTCGAGTTGAAACAAGACAGTACCAAGTGGAGCAAGAGCAAGTGGATGTATTCAGTGCATTCTCACAGCTTGAGGACAGGGGTTTCAGACTGGAGACTAGAAAACTGAGGAGAGCTAGATGAAGACTGAGAAAAGGAGGTGGGATGGAAAAGGTTTCTCATAGGTGGCCCAGAATTGAATGGCTTTCAAGGTTCATTAAGACCAGTTGTAGGACAAAAGTGAAATCCTTCTCATTTCCACAGCCTAGTTATCATGGAGGAATTTGAGGCAAGATGACTAAAAGTTGATAATAATGTAATGTGAGAGAGAATTGAATAAAAGGCTGAAAACTGGCTGTGAGGCTCGGTTTGGAGGAGACACATTCTCCTTGCCATGTGACCAATCTGTGTTGACTCAGAGAGATGAGGATGGCAGGTGAGGTTGGCGGGCTCTTTAGGATCATAAAAAATGCCTCATTTCTCCCACCAATTCATTTGAGCTGCTCCCCATCCACCCTCAGAGTTTTCAGGATGAGGCTTTGTGATGCCAAGGCTCGTGGAGGGCTGCCATTGGCTGGGGAAGTGACTGACGTCATAATCATAAGGATGTGGTCCCCTATGTATAGGCATGCTCAGTGGCTCTGGAGCAGACCCCTGGGAGTCTTCAAAATGAATAAGGTGGCCTGGTAGGCCCTGCCCCATGCCACGCACCATGGCCTCTGAGGATCTGTACGAGGTTGAAAGGATCCTTGATAAGAGGAAAAGCAACAAAGGGAAGACGGAGTATTTCGTTCAGTGGAAAGGCTATGGCAGGGAGGATGCCACCTGGGAGCCAGAGCAGCACCTGGTGAACTGCGAGGAGTGCATCCACGACTTCAACCAGTGCCACAGTGAGAAGCAGAAGGAGGGCACCTTCTCCAGAGCCAACCAGACCTCCGCAAACAATGGCCAGAAGCGGATCTCCAGATCCACCAGCAGCAGCTTCTCCAAGGCTGCCTCCAAGGCCCTAGTGGTGGGCAAGGAGCAGGAGGCCAAGAGCAGCCTGCTGGTTACTGCCAGCCAGAAGTTCAGGAACAGCCCCATGCCGGGCATGGCCACCTGCAAGAACATGGACCTGGCCAAGTCTGACATCAGGATCCTCGTGCCCAAGAGCCTCATCCAGGGCAGCACCGGGGTGCATGGCTTTCAGGACGAGAGCCCCGAGAAGCTGGACCCCGTGGAGCAGGGACTGGAGGACACAGCAGCCAGGGAGGTTGTGGCCAAGAAGCCAGGTAGGGGCCCTTCTGGGCCAGGTGGTGGTGCGGGCCTGGATGGGGAGCTGCCTGTGGATACACCCGCTGGTGCAGCAGGTGTTGGCCCTGCATTGGCGGCCATGACCACGGGGCTGGCCGTGAACGGGAAAGGCATCTCCCCGTTCATGGGTGCCTTGATGGCTAACGGGATGACCTCCCTGCAAACGTCAGCCACGGACATAACGGCCGGGAAGAGGAAGTTCATCGAGGACAGGCGAGACCAGCCCTTTGACAAGCTGCTGCGCTTGCACGTGCGGCAGACAGAGAGCGCCTCCAGGTACCGGGACATCATGGTCCGGAAGCAGGATGGCTTCACCCACATCCTGCTGTCCACCAAGTCCTCTGAGAACAACTCGCTGAACCTGGAGGTCATGAAGGAGCTGCAGAGCGCGCTGAGCATGGCTGGGGCCGACGGCAGCAAGCTGGTGCTACTCAGTGCCGTGGGCAGCGTCTTCTGCTGCGGCCTGGACTTAGTTTACTTCATCCAGCGCCTGACAGACGACCGCAAGAGGGAGAGTGCCAGGATGGCTGAGGCCATCAGAAGCTTCGTGAACACCTTCATCCAGTTCACGAAGCCTATTATTGTAGCTGTGAATGGCCCGGCCATTAGCCTAGGAGCATCCATCCTGCCTCTTTGTGACCTGGTCTGGGCCAACGAAAAGGCGTGGTTCCAGACGCCCTATACCACCTTCGGACAGAGTCCAGATGGCTGTTCCACGGTCATGTTCCCCAAGATTATGGGAGGAGCATCTGCCAACGAAATGCTGCTCTGCGGGCGGAAGCTAACGGCACAGGAGGCGTGCGTCAAAGGGCTGGTCTCCCGGGTGTTCTGGCCTGGGACTTTCACCCAAGACGTCATGGACGGCATCAAGGAGCTCGCCTCTTGCAACCCCGTCGTGCTGGAGGAATCCAAGACCCTTGGGCGCTGTAACATGAGGTTGGAGCTGGAGCAGGCCAACGAGCGGGAGTGCGAGGTGCTGAAGAAGATCTGGGGCTCGGCGGAGGGCATGGACTCCGTGCTCAAGTACCTGCAGAGGAAGATCGATGAGTTGTAATGGCCGGGCCACCTGACCTAACAGGGCTGCACCGCACTGGACCTCACAGCCCTGGCCAGGCTGGCCCGCAGCTCCCCCTGAGAAGCAGGACTTGAGACAGCCAAGCTATTTATTGCCAAGGAGTTTTGAAGTCCTGTAACTTCAAAATAAATAACTGCAAAACTCCTCTTTCCAAATGTCATTATTTCATGCTTAATACACACACAAGTGTAAAAGTATAATGGTGAACTCTGGGCTGCTCTTTGAGGCTCTAATTTTTGTATCTTCAGCTAGTACTGTCTAAAAAAAAAAGGTGTGTCTTCTTGGTTCGGGTGCCAGCAAATTCTGACAGGAGGTTTGATTTCCCTTGTTTTTTCCTTCTGGAAACAAAGAAAGAGGTGTTAGCCAGCCTCGATATCCCCTCCCCAAGTCAAAATATGGAAAGATGTGAGATGTGCCCTTATCTCTAAGCGGCTCAAAGCCTCAGCGATCAAAAATTCTAAATCAAATGGAAGACTTATCTTTTAGGATGAGTACTTCTGGTTAAACACCCACAAATGGACATACCCCCGAAGTAAAATACACCTGGGATCCAAACTGAGATATCAGTTGATTGTTCCCTCTTTTTAAATGTTTGATTCTTTCCCAGTTAACAGGAAGAAACCACTCTCTCTAGGGGAAAGCTTGTTTTGCAATATTAGTGAATCACTGACTAGCTTCAGTATGGTATCTTAAGTTATCAGTTAAACTTGGCAGGTTTATAATTAGTTTTTTTTGACCCTTTTGAAAAATAACTACATGAGTGCTTTTTGATGCTGGGTAAGAACTGTTACTTTATATAGAGTTTTGGTTTTCTCTTTGCAGATATGATCAACGTATTACACCAAAAATAAAAAGTATTTTTATGCTTCTAAAGTGTAACTTTTAGGTTCACTTAGAACATATTTTATTTAATAACTTAAAATTCTTTTGGCACACTATCAAATGCAGAAGCTCCTTTTTAAGATAACTACCATATTATATTGACATTTCATGTTCTTGGTCTCTGCTTTCATGTCTACACAATATATAAAGTACAGGATGCTGTCTGAGAGTGCCCTGTGTCAATAGATGTGCACATTCCTGCTGGGTTGGGGAGAATTCCAGAAGCCTGTCCCCTGGTATGTTTCTGACCTTGCAATCATGTGGAATGTCTGGAGAGTGAAATAAAATCACTCTGTGATTAATAAAATAAAAATGTCTCACTTGGACAGTTTTTAAGGTTCTGAGAACCGACCACCTCGCAGCTTGCTGAGAACTTGCAGAGTGAAAATATGCCTTTACTTGGATTGGTTGGTGCAGTATTTTTCCATCGGTGGGGCCTGCTATTTATTTTTCCATAGTTTGAACTGTATATAAACTATACAATATGTAAAGTTTTTATAGAATAATTATTCAGCTGTGAAAACTGGTTAAATAAAACATATTTCTTAACACACACACAAACACACACAACACTAAATGACTTAGGTGACTGGGAAGCCAAAAGTCTCTGCACAATCAGGAAACAGCCAACTCCTTATCCAGGATGAAAAGATGAAGAACTGCTATCAACTGAGGTCTAAAGTAGTGTCAAGGTGAGGGAACCCACCCACATTCAACTTGCCCATTGACACCGCCCCATAGACACACTCCCCTTTCTTTGTCTGGCACATGCCCCATACTGGTCACACTCCCTCTGATGAAGCCATCAGTTCCAACCATAACTATCCTCTTCCCCAAACCAATGTCATTCTTTGCTCCTTCTCTTGTTTTCTCCAGGGCACCAGGGTAAGGGTGAGGGCAAATATAAACAAGCACATTCAGTCAAAGCTGACCAAGAAAGCTTCGCAAAAAGCTCCCACCTCAGAGACTCTTAAGAAAATCAGAGGCTCAAAGCTCTGTAGCCAGCGTTCCATGGTGAATGAACAGCTAAATCACTACAAACTGGAAGAGGCCCCAGAGATCCTGGAGACCCCTGCCATTCCTGCTGGACAAATGCATAGCCAGTGACTTCAGAACATGGTTAGAGAACTCAGAATTCTTTGGGGGTCTCACTGCTGAAAAGTGGTCAACAGGAACGACATGGAATTTTCTACCAACAACATACATTAATAACGACAGTTCAATAATATCAAGCTGATGTGCAATTATCTGTGTCTCTGAGCTTTCTGCTTTGGGCAGAAATGAGAGAGAAAGGATAAGTTTGTGAAGAGAGAGGGAGATGGTTCCTGTGCAGTTAGAGAGGGGACTAGTAGGTCCAGTGAGCTAGAAAGTATGGGGCAGAACTGTGTCCAGACTGAAGCACTAAGATACACTTCCCATGGGAGAAGAGGAAGAGGATGTGGTTTTTCTGTTTGTGAGTGCAGGGTTGGGAAGGTAGCTGGAGTGCTGTGTCATGGGGTGGGGGCAGCAATGCCATTTGCTAAAAAGCAACAAAATAGTTGCCCCTAGAGCATCTACCTCATAGTAGTGATTATTACACCTCAAGATATGATGTCAGCAACTGACAGCATTAAAAACCCAAACTTGCTTACTGAAAGATACTCCATAGTCAAGAAGCAATGCTCACACTTTTTATAGCGATTTCTCAAAAAGCTAAGACGGAGCAACACATGACCTAACACTTTCATTATTGGATATATATATTGGATATGTATATATTTAATCAAAAAGGCACATGTGTCCCAAAGCTCCCTGAAGCACACAATTCACCAGCGTGTAATTAACCTAAATATCCATTAGATGAGAGACAGATAAATGAATAAAGATGTGGTGTATGTGTACAAAGGAGCACGGGTTTTTCTTCAGTCACTAAGGCATTTCCCACTCTTGGGGACCCTATGGACTCTACCCTCTCCAGCCTCCCCTGTTCATGGAATTTTCCAGGCAAGAATAGCCCAGTGGGTTGCCATTTTCTTTTCCAAGGGATCTTCATTACCTAGGTTTTAAGCCCTCATATCCTCCTTGAGAGGCAGATTCTTTCCCACTGAGCCACCAAGGAAGACCTATGGAATGTTACTCAGCCATACAAAGAATGAAATTAATACCAATTGCAGCAACATGAAAAGTATAATAGTAAATAAAGTAAGAAAGACAAGTACTGTACGGTATCACTTGCAAAGTCGTAAAACCCTACAAAGTGGAGAATATAATGAAAATAGAGGCTCACAGATATATAGAACATCGACTATTTACCAGTGAATGGGGGGAGAGGAAGGAGAAATACAGAGGTGGTGGAGTGTAAGGCACAAACTTAGGTGTACGCTGAGTTCAAGGATGTAGTTTACAAATGGGGAATGTTGCCAGTATTTTGTAATAACTCTAATTAGAAAGCAAATTGTATCAGCTGTATAATAAGAAAGAACAGGACAGAAAAGGGGAGGTAGCAGGGAAGAAAGGAGGGAAAATAATGGCGGTTTTTGGAAGTCACAAAGGCATTCTTGCTTAGGCCCTTTTAAGCTAAGGAGTTTAGAATGGAGCAGTGGCCATCCACAGATGGATCGGGGGAGCAGCTCACATCCAGTGCAGGCAATGCTGGAGTGGGGTGTGGGGGCATTGCACAGAAGGAGTTTTCTTACAAGAATAAAACCAAGTAAAATCTGGTTATGTTTGTATTAACATCTCCATACTCCAGTATTCTAAAATAATATCAGTAATTATGTTTCCTCTTCAAATTCAAATTTTGTTGTCTTAGTCTTTAACAGTGTGTTGCCATTTATGTCAGATTTTAATATTTTATTTATTATTCACTAGGAAAAAAATTTTTGTATATATATACATATAAATAAATACACACACATATGTGTATATATGTTTATGTGTGTGTGTGTGTGTGTGTGTGACAAATGTTTTAGTACTTATCTTTAAAACGTCTTTGTCTCCTATAAGGGAGGTAATTAAGAGAAAACCCTGTTAAACAGTTGTTGCCATCACAAGCTGCCATGGTTACCCCTGCTCCAATCTACAGATCATCATTAATGGGGAAGGCCTTGAGACCACTTGCTGCATAGCCTGCAGTCCCTGAGGGACTGTACTATTGCACACTCCTCGTTCAAGGCATTTATTCGAAAAACAGTGATGCAACTAACATTGTCAAGGGAAACACACACAGTGTACTTTTATTTACCGCTGAATCAGTGAAACTAATGGGTACAAACTTTTTAAGCTTGAAACGTACAAAATCTTATTGTACTTGGAACATGAAGTATTCTGTTGAATTTGAAAACTATATTTTAAAGTGAAATTCATGCTTAGTTTTCAGTTACTTTCAAACTGTAGAAAAAGTAAAACAAAATAAAAAACAGAAAAGTTACAGTCATTGGGGCTGCTTAAATTGCATTTTTACAGATTTTTAAAAATTCCCTTTTAATTTTAAAGTCTTAATTAGATATAGAATGGTCAATAGGTTTTATACTATGTTCATTTTCTGGACATTTTATTTCATTAGTTTATTACTGTGACTAGAACGATTTTCTTTTGAGTGAGTATTAAAACTTTTTCCTCTCCCTTGTGTGGAACACACTGCTTGCAACAAACAACAGTTTGCAAAACTGTTGGCAGATATTTTATTGCCTAAAACATTTTATAATTCAGCTCTAGTGTCTACTTTTTAAAATAATTCAGCTCTACTGTCTAGGCATTTTCTTTCACTTTGTCTAGGCCGAGAATTTTCTCATGCACTTCTGGTATCTTCAGACTTTCTGTCAGCAATGTGTCTCTGTTGCTGATTAGTTTCTCAATTGTCTCCAACTTGTTGCCACCAGATGAACTGTAAGCCCACCAGTCTTCTCTGGCCTTGGGGATTCCCCAGGAAAGAATACTAAAGTAGTTTGCCATGCTCTGCTATGAGAAATCTTTCTCTCTCTCTCTTTTTTTTTTTTTCAGTTGACAGCACTTGGCTCAGGTCACTGTAGTCTCTTAGGATCACTTCCTCTGACTTCTAGGCCAGCACGTTCTGGTAGTTCGCCTCCAAATTCAGGCTGTTTTTTCCTTGCCAAGGT